AGCCTCCCACCTGTGAACCCGGATTGCCGGCAGTAGAATATAGTGCACTTATTTTTTTTAATAGTGTGCATCAGATTTGGCCGCAACAGCAAGATGATGACAGCTTTTTCCCCTACCAGATCCATAATATGCAGCAATTTATGTTCATATGCCCAGATTGCCACTCTTCATACAGCCTGACTCCAAGAATTATACAGTATCAAGAGAATTTTGGAGGCGGATCACTACCACATATGCCTCCGTATGCTTGGAAACGATCCACGTCATTTAAGGCAAATGTGAGGTCTGATTTTCCGGTTTTTCATCAGCTATTCGATGCCTTAATTAGGATTTTCTTGTCCGGAAAGATATCGTCCTGAGTTCAGCGTGACCTGAATGGGGCCAGATTAATGGATGCACAGAAACCAACATCGTTCTAAGCAGACAGTTTGCCGTGGATCCGCATGAATCCCTAAAATGATCTGAACATGTGTCCCTTTACTTTATTCTCACTTTGCTCTCACTTCTCTCGTCAGACACTTTGAAGCTCAAGTCACGGATAGTACATAACGTAGTAGCTGTTTCAATTCAGCTTACTGAGACATCATAGCAGTGACTATCCGTGTTCCTTCAAGGTCCCATTACAGGAGGATAGCAGGCTGGTATGATGGTGGGCAAAGTGCAGTCATATACGTCATCCAACGTGAAAGATGTAGTACCCCAGTCTATGAGCAAGTCATCGGAACGCGAATGAATTTGCTAACCGAGTGCATTGGCCAAATATCGGGCGTGAATGAACAGGCTATGGGCACAAGTTTTAACAAACAAATGTTCACGAAAGACATATGGGGAGAGCGGGAACTTGAGGAGTCAGCGTTCAATACTACAAATGCCCTATCAGGTCATTCGGCGGTACTGCCGTATATGTCACCTAAATATCCACGGCAGTATCAACCGGCCGTTCAGCTAAACAGCCACATTGGCAGCCCAGATGAGTAGTTTTTCCTTTAGGATGTATCATTCTGTTTATGTTGCTACGGCATAACATGAGGTGTCTGGACACCATGCCGACGGAAGCATACAATGGACATACTCAGATATTCTTGTGGCCAGGTCATTTCGAAGTACAGATGGGTTGTCCAATTAGAGCCACAAAAGGAGCCTTGATTTGAGCGGTAAGTTAAATGAAATACAAGAGGTACGTCCAACTCTCGATAAAAAGAATCAACCCAGTTTTATGCATCTGCAAGCAGTCTTAGATTTCTAACTTTCCAACCACATGAATCTTAGTGCTTGGATATTAGAAAATTCAATCACTTCTATGAGTACGGGTAACACAGTGTTAAGAATTCAGCATCACAGAGTGTTGAGGTAAAAAGATATCGCCTGGCCAGTTTTAGAACATTAAACTAACTATTCCGTAGTCCGTAATGTAACTTTGATGGAGTGCCTTTGGTTTTGCACCGCTATTTTGATGTTTGCTGTTTCCGAATTAGGCTGATCAAAATGCGCTTGATTGTAGAGTTGTTTAGGGGACTCTTCATGAGATGCTTATGTTTCAGTTACTTGAACGTCCCAATCAAGTATGAAAAATCTTTGTTTACTTCAAACATTATGTACAGGTCAGCAACATTGAAGCTAAGCTGAACGCACTACTTAACTGCTACTTGGAGAGACAACCCACTGTATATCCTCATAATGGGTCCAGACCAGACTGTTTGACTGCCGGAATCCGTCCAAGGCAATCCGACTGTCTTGATGTGGGACCAACTTTCAGCTGTGTGAATCCACAGCACAGAGTCTCGGATCATAGACCGGTGGAACCAAAGCAGCAAATTGTTTCCGATGGCAAACAACCACCCGAGAATGTCGAAGATTCAACTAATGATGGTTCGGTCGAAGGCGGGAACGTTATACGAAGATGTATGATTAAGTCGCCAACAGAACATAACCTTAGGGAATCTTCTGAGGATGCCACAGTTCTGAGAATGAGCGCGTCATCCAGCTGCCATCCTAAATCAGCTGCTCACACCAACACCCTGCCCATCAGAAGGTCGATGAAAGCTGATCCGATAGCAGGCCGCAATACCAGGGTCCATTTTTCCATTTCAAATTCAGACCAACAACCCACAACATCGGTGGATTCTGAATGATACATTCAAAATCCGCCTGTGAACACCAGACTTTTTTCTATGACATAATCATCTCAGCCGCGGTTGTAACGTCTGGCGCCGTAAATGTCTTTCCAATTACTTCATCGGTAGTTCACCAGATTTCCGTGAATCGTAGACTATTTCCTCATTTCTTTATACGCAAGTTGGTTGAAGACATGGTCGTTCCACTCAAATTCAGCCAAAAATAAAGCTTCTCAACCCACTCACTTATGAATCAGAGTGAAATGCTCACAGAACTTTTGTACATCTTACCTTTCCAGTCGCATTAACGTGCCAGGAACTTTTATTCTATCCTCTCGTAACAAAAGAACAGTGATTTGGAGGAAAAAAACGATTGAAATATAACTATTTTGCACGAATTTTTTTTTTGAATATTTCCAGACACCATTCCAAGAAACCACAAAATGCAATCCTACCAGAGTACACATAAAAATGTTAAGGGGAGCGCCCTTGAAAATTAGAGTATTTTTATCTCCGGAACTGCTTATTCAAACCTAGTTACTATTCATACCAAGTGCACCTTTGGACAGGCCTCCTTTTTATGTAGTATGACGGAAAAGTGCTTTAGGTGTACCAGCTTTCGTAACCCAAAGGATTACTTTCGTTTATCAGCCTATCGGGGCTGGGTTTTCAGCAGAGTGATGTCAGGTATTTTCTAGTTCAAATCCTTGCAGACTAGATGGACTTCCTCGTAGTCAGCAGCGTACCGTTATTCTCACCTACACAGCGTTGCATACAAGCCACCTTAAGCCCCCGTTATGAACATAATCCGTAAGGTTTCGTTTTATTTTTGGCATGAGCAGTATGAGATGATCTGTAAAAATCCTCATCATCCGTTTCCTCCCATCTACATCTCAACATGTGGAGTTAGTCCCTGGAATCTGAGAAAAGCAACCCTTGGCTTGGTCCATCTGCGTGATGAATGTACCGGAAGTGGAAACTCGACGCCATTCCCTGTTGGTTTTCTTATTGTTCCACATAGGCCTGCTGGGGGTTACGTTGAAGAGATATTAGAATACCGGTTAAGTTTCAGCAATTAGTTCGTCTAATGATAGCACATGATAACATGATAACACGCAAAAAAATCTTCTGCAACACGGACCGACATATCATACTTTGTCCAAGTGGGGCCATCCAACTGGTAAAACTGCCCGCGATCATAAAAACTGACATTTCCTATTGGGCTGTCTCATTCTAAACCGCAATACCACACTCTGTCCCAACGTCTTCGGTCCGCTTCCTAAGTATCTTTGGAGCCCGTTTGTATGATAAATTTCATCTCTTTAGTTTCCCGTCAATCTAGAAAATATGTTTCCAGGAGCAGGTCTGCCTCAACTTAGACTCACACGACGTCTTTGTAGCTAACTCTGGTTTAACCATATTGAAGAGTACATATTCTCGGTTTAGGGCGTTATTGAGCGACTCTTATTGTCACGAATGCCCTCCTCAAGTTGAGCTCTGCAAGTAAGCAAACTAGATTGTGCATAGCTCAGTTTGCCTTCCTAGCGATGTGTTAACTCACTGAACGCGGACTTCTACTCATTGATTCGCTTCTTTTGGGTATGTTTCATCTGGTTCCAGTGTCCCGTTTATTTCACTGACAAAATTCATCGTTTGGGCGTTATTTCTAACGCAGCTTAATTGCTCAACTGCCAGTGGACCGATAACACTGATCGAATTGAGGCAAGGACCAAAACAGGTATTGTGAAATGTCTAAAAATATCTTAATTTCTTTTACATATTTCAAACGAAAGGTTCTGGTGAAGTTCATATGTGTTCAAAGAACATTGCAAAAGAGAACTGCCGTCAGGCTTCCAAATAATGGCTTCTTAATTTTGCAGAGCTTGCCAGGATCAGGTTCCGGGCTCATATTAATTGTACATCTGGGCAACTAAAGACCCTTGGTTGAAGAGGACATATTAATCTTTATTCGAATTTTCTGGGAACTGTTTGCCACTTTTAAATTATATTTGCCGAAGTTTCCCTCCAAAACCAGAGTAGCTACGCAGCCAAGCACATTTCTATGATATTTTGGCGTGAAAATGATATTGATTGCCTTGAATGCCTACAACTAACTATGTCGAGACGCCTCAACAAGTTGTACATGTTTACGTAATAGAAATCTCACAGTGTCACTGGAGATAGCCAAAGAATCATTTCATTCGGCTTGCCGAGGTGGGCACGACGCATACCAGTGAGTCAGAACACTTCGAGACACCCAAAATTCACGTCCCTTCTAAATTCCTCTCTGAACACTTCCGTACTTCGCTGGAAGCACCCTATGAATCTGACGGAAAGCTGCAGCAGAAACGGAGGAGAAATACAAAGTTTGATTGCCTTAAATCTTTTCGAAACCGTCTTTTTGTTAACTAGGTAATGTTTGTAATTTTGCAATTTACCATCACGTTTTAGTGGACCACAGGGCAAGTCGCTGTTACATCATCAACCAGAGGCCAACCGTGTGTCGTACACCTTTGACTGACTAAGTGTTCCGATAGTTGTAGGTAGATAATCACGCACACTTGCAGTGGAACGTTTGCAAAGATGAAACACTGAGTGGAAACATCTTTTGCTTCCCTTTAAGTTGGTAGGCTGGGGAATATCGACAGGCTGGAGCATAATACTCATAAGCTGTGCACTGCTCATTCTGTTCAGACTGGTTTCGGCAGCTGGAGTCGTCACAGTCCGCCTGAAGAATTCGTTCGTAAGCCCGGGGAACCTCTGCCTGGCCGTAGAAATTTTTCAACAGCCGGATATGCAGAATACGGAATGGGGATAGCAGGTCTAATACGGACCACCTGGTGCACACTACGTACTATGGTTTGACTCCCTAGAAACCACCATCATTTGAGACCGGTGAAATTCTTGAGGGTGAGTACGCCGACTCCCCTTTCGTCTCCAAACAGACTGATTTGCTTCGAAGAAAAACAGGTTTTACCCTCAAAAGTTCCTAAACAACGCTTTATCTCAACTTTAGTGAATGCTGACCATTTTTGTACTGAACCTCCCTCAAAGCGTTTCTATCATCTGAATCCCATATATAACCCTCATCTGACTGATGCGCCTAGGGAGTGGAGAGCCTATCAAAGGACTGTGAATAGGATGGATAATTCTAACGCATTTTTCGTCGCCTGAGTGAGTGTGGCTCTAACAAGCATCCTCTCTGAGTAGTTCTTGGTCATCTTTTCATTCGTGCGTTGAATGCACATTGGTCGGTCGCCCTGCTTGTTGAACAGGCATTCTGAATTATTCACACACACACACACACACACACACACAACCAGTCGCTTTCCGTCCACACGCGTACGCATAGCCGATTGGTTAGGCTTGAACCGCTCAAATCGACTTCCCTTGACCCACTACCTTGGTTGAATCCTCGTCTCATTGTCGAATCGGAGTCATGCCTGTCTAGCCTTGCTTTTTCCCGCACGCAACAAGTTGTTATACGTCAGCGAATCCTATTCAGCGAGCTATAATCACATGTTGTGATGTTCCCCCTGTTCCAGACTTAACATTTATTTTAGGCTGTTCATCGTCCTTGGCTTTTGGAATCGGCTTTATACCACAAGTGAGCCAGGGTGTCGGTACATCGACCAACTCTTCCAGAAACATCAGGATTTCGGGTCAAGAGCATCCGAAAAGTAGTCGAATGGTATTTGCTGTGAGTAAACAGGGCTGGTAAGCATTCTGAGATGCCAGGTTGCCCAGACCCAAGTCAGCAGTAGACGTCAGTCTTCATTCAGATATCTCCCAGTAAGGGTAACTGAAGTTCATTGACGTTCCATCTCCTTCACTGGGTCTTATGGAGGATGACGAATTCTCATCCAGGATGAAAGTGATATGGAATCTACATCTGACGTTTCATCAAGGTGCAAAATTACTTGATGTTGACCAGTTCGAAATATAACATACTTCCTTGAGTACCGCTACTTTAAGGAAGTGGCTAAATGTAGATTGTTGACATTTTCGAATACTTGGATTTGCTTTTGTGTCCGTGGATTTTTTAACAATCGCTCGACATCTTATGTCCGATCATGCCACAGTTTTGGACAGACCTGACTGTTGGACGGGAAGAGTTTCGCGAAAAAAACATCATAGTAATGTCAGCATCACTGAGGTCGTGGTTACCGCAGACGGGATTTCGGGTTTCCACTGAGCCTCCCGAATCGCCCCAGCCTCGTAACAGTTGGCTATCGTGCATAAGATCCTGTACTGTTTGGTGTCCCTCTAACAGGGTTTGAGGCGCGTCTGGTTAGAACTAGGTCGCAGAAAGAAGTTTCACTCTCATCTCAGCACCATAAAATCACAAACAAAAATCAACTTTCTAGAATAGTCCGAACTGCGTTCCTTCAAATAGCATCGGTCACTTTTGTTGCAGACCATTTCGATGTAGGTTGGGAAAAATCCGTAAAATGTTTACAAGAGGGAACGTTGGTAGTGTGTGCTGAAATAGGTGTAACGACATCCAAACATGTTCACCAGGTGCCCCACGGCATACTCTAATATAACTGTTCAAAAGTATCTAGTTAAATTACTTCACATTTTCACTCGAAAGGAAATTGCAGATTAACAAACATACCAGGTGCGCTTCGTCGAATTCGAGTGAATTTTCACAGGTGTAATCTCCACCAGGTATGTTGTTTAGATTGTTGGCACAGTTTTCCAGCTGGTCTGCCAAAGATGGTGGTCATCAGCCCCTGAAAACCTCATGTTTTGATTGTCGTTCTTTTAGCGCAGTGAGAGCTTCAGGTTGATGGGTCACTTATTGCTGCTTTCCGTTCAATCAGGTTCAGTAAATTTTCTATAGTTATGCTGTTGGGAAGGGCGTCACTTAACCTGTTGCGGCCTGTTTAGATCTGTTACGCAGCCAGTTCAAGCATATAGACCCAAAGAAGGTGATATCGTCCTGGTGGCCGATGTACTACCTAATACATGCGACAAAAGACCCAAGACAGAGCAAACAAACCAATTGAGGGAGGCGGGAACCATGTGCACTCAGATTGACGGTGAAAACATCAAACAAGGGTACAGGCTGACTGGCCACATGGACGCCTTAGTTTGTTCTTCGAGTATAGTTTCCCTTTCTAAGGGGACCATGTAAATCTAGGAATCAAATTTGCCCCTCAAAAAGAAACGGGTTAGTGTTGATAACAGCCTTCAGAGATGAACTAAAATTGGTTGAGATGACTCTTTCATGTAAACTGCGCCCCCGGTTGGGATAATTTTAAAAGTGCTC